AGAATGAAAATGCTAATTATTATATGGCAACCTAGACATAACCAGCCCATTTCACATGTTCTGCTGTTTTCATCTAAAATCAGCTGTGAATCACGATCTTTGTTATACTGACACACAAAGAAAGCACTTTAGGCTGATAGTAGTTACGGTTATTAACCGTAAACATTAACAATAGCGACAACACAATCAATTTAAAATGAATAGCCTGTCATTTATATTGTAATTTTAACTTGTGATATGCTACTATTAATTTTAATTATCGATGTTTTTTGTTGTATGTTTTTTATTGTAACAGCAAAACAACGCTAATAACTGGCTATTAATAATATTGCTTTTTTATATAATAGGCTAGGCTATATAAGACAAGTTGGTCTCGTGCAGCGTTTTTAAAATGTCAATTTCGAAACAAAATCGCAATGAATCGAATAAGGACGATGCATGAAATACACAAGTATAAAATAGTACTAGTATAATTAAAACAATTAAATGTTGAACATATAGGAACGGTGACCTGTTTAATGTCTTCAGGCATGCATATAAGGTTTGAAGTCGTTTCCAGAGAAGTGAAGTTTGTAATTGTCACTGGAGTTGTATTGGGACATCTGCTCGACTGTATCAAAGCCGACACGAGAGTCCCAGCGGCTGAGCAAAAATCTGAGTTAATTAGCGCGATACATGTTTAATTAAAGCCAATTACAATATCTAAAATTACCTAATCGAAACCTGTTTTCACAGTGAAGGTGCCCTCAGCACGATCTGCTTCACACAAATATATAACATGCATTTTGCAGCGCATGCACTTTGTGCGTATGTACAATGGATATGGAGAATTATTATTTTATTTTTATTTTTTTTGTCTTCAAATAAAAGCATCAGCAGGTTTTGGAAAAGCGTGTCTTCAATACTTTAATTGTTTTTTTTATATATATATATTTCTACAGCTAGGTTACATCATCTTATATTTATTTAGCCTATAAATGCGTGCATTTACGTAGGCTAAATGTAATTTATTTTGCATGAAAAGTCATTTTAATCGGCGAAATAAGGTTTATAAATAGTTCCTTATAGCCACATTTGATAACTTTATCAGACTTTTGTCCTTCCAATCTTGATGTTTGCGATGCAAGTGATAAATTCTGTCACTAAAGAAAATCAGAAACTGATTGGCTGCATGTTTGATCGATATTAGTCTATTGATTCGAGCTCTTCTTCCCCGTTTAATTGTGCTGTGATCTCAGACGCTGTTCCACATATGCGTCGAAAGGAGGCGCTCTTTATCAAATTTCTCTTAAAGATTAAACGCTGCTCCGCCAAAAGCTCCTGCAGTTCCTCCGGAAAATAAATTCATATTTTCACGTTTTATTCATTTCACGTAAAAAACATCCTTTATAAAGAGAGAGAATGAGATTGAGATATTGTTTATGGTATTTTAGACGAGGTAATTGATTAAGCATATTGTTTGGCTATTAATGTATTCATGTATTTTATTATTGATGTATTTTTATTACTTGATAAATGCTTTGTCTATTTATTTAAACCCGCTACAACTCCACAATGGAAAAAGGTACATTAAAAATATATGAACTAATAGCTGTTTCGTTATAAAACATGTGTAACACAATAGCCATCATGTTTTCATGCAATATCTCCGCTTTTTAAGCACAGCTTTATGTAATGGCGCAAGAAACAATAATAGACTGTTAACTGAAATGATGACTTGACACTAATAGCAATGCACATAATTCATCAACATTTTATTTGCCCTCATTTTTCCCTTTTCTGATCATTAACGATGTAATTAGTTGTCATGATTAAGGCGAAGGGAACATATGCAACAGTTTAAAAATGCAAAGACGAATGATTGATTCTCCCTGTTTGTCATGCACTGACGTTTACGCTGCTTTGATTTCCATCTCTCTCTCTCTTTCTCCCTCTCTCACGCCATTTTACATAAACCCATTACAAAAAACATATATATTTTCGGGTCTTACCATAAGAGGACATGGTTTTAAAAGCATGCAAATGTGAAATGTTGATTCTCGTTTGAGCCCGAAAATAGCCTCTCTAACATATTGTGGTGAACTGGGAAGTCTGGATGTGACAGATGCGCTTTAAACCCAGAAACTTGTGCTCTTGGATTGATATTCCGAAGGTAAATCATCTTTCAGCAGCTCTGCATTAGTTATGATGAGCTGGTTCACGCCTTTCACTACATGGCGTGCTCTGTGAGTGGTCAGTTGTCCGATTTTACGCACAAGATTCAACCCAGAATCTCAGCACTGCTAATTTAATTTCTTGCATCAATGCCATTACCAGTCCGAACTGTCAACGCTTTTCTGTGATGTTGGAGACAGACAGGCCCTCTCCAAGCAATTTGACTCTTCTCTAGCTTCTCTGGAGTTTTGCAGGTGTCATTCTGCTCCAGACCTTTAAGATTAAAAAACGGGGTTTGGAAGATCTGGCCGTGTGCAAAGATGCAAATAGGAAAGTCGTGGTGCGCTGGTATGATGCGTGGAGGGGACATCTGGGCACTGGCCATCTGACTGACTTTGCCTTGACATCTGGGAAAGCCACTGGTGTGTGGCACGCGAATCGGTTGATGTCGCTATTTAAATGCAAATTTGTTGGGGATCATTGGAGCCTCACCCCGTAAATTCACACAAAAGGAACACTTCACACACAATAAGGAGGAGGGTCGTTTCTTCGGGAGGTCTTGGCAACGCCGAACAAATCTTATTCAAACCCACACACACCTTCTGCATGACTAACTTTTCCTTTGTCCCGCGCGCTCGGTTAGTACATCTCCCCAAATAAGATCTAACATGGGCAGACAGAATAGAGCTCAATCCGCAGCGTTCAGTTTTTAATAAAAATAAAGGTTCCGGTTACAACCCAAAAGCTTTTTGTTATGGTGGAATATTCTTTTAGACAGATTGTTTTCTACGCATAAAAACACTGAACTGATGAACATATACTGTAACATCAAGTTTTGTTTTTATTATCGTCAACAAAAAAAGATAAGTTTAAGGTCTAAATATTTAATACACAAATCAATTTATTTTTTCACAGTATTATTATTAGCATATTATTAGTAGTATTATGCTTGCAATCATAATCTTTTTGTTTGTGTCCTACGGAATATTTTGAATATTATTTTAGATGCGCTTTTAATCTGGCAACATTTTTTTTTTTTTTTTTTTGCATAACAAAAACTGACATCTGACACTTGCGAAATGCAAAACGCAATTAAATCGGTTTCAGAATAAACACACCGGATATTTGGTGTCATAAAATTTGTCGCGCACTTAATTTCCGAACGTCGAGGAGTGAAAGTGAAAGTTGGTGAATTAAAGAGCGCATTTTGCACGCTTTGGCTCCGGGCTCCAGATGAGCCTCAGAAATGAGCCGAGATGGATTCAGGCGAGCAGCTGATTCTCCAGTCTCCGGCCAGATGGCTTCTGAACACAGATTTGCATTCATTTTCGCCTAATATCTTCCAAAATAGAGGGGCAGCTGCATTTGTTGTCAAATAAGGTTTAAAACTCCTTTTTAGGACGGGATCGTTACCTACGCGATGGGATTGTTGAACTTCTCTAGTCAACAGTATCAGATTTAAAGGGATTTAGACTAAAACCCTAATTTGGTAATCAGATTGAAATCGCTTTGGTGTGTGTAATCTGTATTAGAGATACTGTAGATTAGGCCTAGAATTAGCAAACCTGAAATATTTATAAGAAGAAATAAATTAGATTTGGAAAAAATAATAAAGATTTGATTAAAAAATAAACATAAATTAAAAAAGATATCACGTGCCAAATAGGTCTACGGATACTTTAGATTTAGGTAGCACATGCGTAATTATAATATTTGATAGCAATAATTATAAGAACATTTCACGTGAAAGAAAAACAACCGTTTGCTGATTAAGATAAACGTAGCAAATAATAATAATACTCATTTTCTGCCTAGAGTGCCATTTAACATTAAAGTTCACAGAGCGTATGCATGGATCAAAGTCATTGCGAATTAAAGACAAAAAAGCATATCAATCTTAAAATCTTGTCGTAAAATATAATTTTATTACTTACGTATTTAATTAGACGACGATGCAATGTGATGGATTTTGAGTCGAGGCAAGAGCAACAGCTTTGATAATTCACTTATCTTTGGCAATAGTCATTAACCCCCAACACTAGCAGAATAGATTGCTGTGTAAAACACATCTCTCTTCTCCTCTCTCCGTCCATCCATCCATCCATCCCTCCCTCCAGCACACACAGGGTCCCCAGATAACCAACATCGGACTTCCATTTTTGCCCATTAATTCAAATATTAACATGCATGCACGGTCTGCCAATATCACGAGCACCTTACGAAATGAAGGAAAAAAATGACCCTTATTGTTCTGATAAATGATTATATTTTTATTACAAAAGACATCCTACTTCTTGCGCATAGAAGGAGAGGGTGGACGCAATGTTTCCCCCGAGTCCTTTCACAGTTTCAGATGTAATTCTGCAATAATTTACCAAATTAAGCGCGTACGCACTAGGACTAGGAGTTTGACATCGCCTCGGTTCGCTCCACGCCCGCAAACTGTGTGTGTTAGATTCAAGCAGTCAATGTAAAATCCCATAATTTAAGACGCGCATTACGCCATTATGCAGATGCCCTGGGTGTTTATTCTTAAAATGCCAGTACACCTTCCTGACTTGAGAGTAATGAAAGGAGAAACTAGTGAATCGATTTAGTCAATTACGCGCCCGGGACGTTCGGCACTGTCACTGTGGTGATGATGATGGCCCTGTAAGAATTTTATTCTGGAAACCGGCTAACAGTTGCAGCGGATGGGTGGCCAGTGCTCTTTTTTTTCTTTTTCTCTCTCTATAAACTTGCATGGCAGTTTCTCAGAATATATAGATCATGCGCAGCGCATTTTATTCACGGGCTTTCATTATCATTCATTTTTGTTCCTCTCTGATGATTACTTGACATGATGTTCACTGGAAAAGCAGCAGCAGCAGCAGCGACTCTAGTCTTGTATGTACTCACGGTCCAAGCTTAAAGCCCAGCGACAGGAAGCTTCAATCCTTTCCATGTATGGGCAAAGCCACGCCTCCGCGCGCGTCATCCTCTGACAGCGTGGATCCCGTGGGTCTGGAGTTTTTGGCTCCCGGGAAAGGTTCCAGTCCTGGGGGATAGAGGGTTGAGTTTTGTATGCTTCCATCCATTCTGCAAAGACGCGCTAAAGGCCCCTCATCATCCTCTCCCGTGTCCGGGAACACCTCCACGGTGATCATTTACGCGTTTATTTGTCTTTTGGAGCCAGAAGTGGTGGATTCAGCAGTGTCCCGAAGCCTTTTTTGATGCTGTTGTTATAGGATGCCACCAAGCTAAGAGCATCATCACCATCATCATCATCCTCATCCACAGCAACAGAAAGTTGCGAGAAATGTTTAACTGAATTAAAACAACTCTAATATCCCTGATATTTGCGCGAGTTGTTTCGCTTCTTCCACGGGAGGACCAAACAAGCTGCTGGAGAAGGCTTGAGAATCTTTACGCACTGAATCGTTCATGTGGTGCCAACGCAGGACGGACTGAAGACGGAGTCGGGACTGCTTTTTTCTTCTTCTTGTTCTTGTTCTTCTCTTTTCGACAAATCCCAAACAAACTCTTACTGCTATCCGAAGGGGCTTCTCGGAGAAACGACGCGCCCTCGCTCACACTCTCATTTCATCTCTTTGGCTGGAAGTGGGTTGCACGCGAACTGTTTTAATGTTTGGGATTCAGGAAAATATACCGAGAGGGGGGACCACTATGAAAGAGGAACCGCTGGGCAGTGGCATGAATTCGGTCCGATCGTGGATGCACACGGCTGGGGTGGTGGATGCGAACACGGCCGCCCAGAGGTACGTTTGCCAAATCATCCGATTTTTAATGCATTTCTCAGATCGACCCCTAAATCCCCAATATGCCATGTATCAATTACACTCTCCCCATGCACCTCTTCGCCGCTTTCCCCCTGTTCATTACATCATATTACAGTTTAAGTGACAAATCAAGAATTCTCCCATGTTTTCGTTCTATCTACATCTATCCAGATCTCAAGTGTGTACGCCTGTTGTTTTAACCCACACTGGTGTCTTGTTTTCCCCGCAGTGGAGTTGGTCTGGCACGGGCGCATTATGAGAAACAACCGCCATCCAACCTCAGAAAATCCAATTTTTTCCACTTCGTCCTGGCTCTTTATGACAGACAGGGACAGCCAGTGGAGATCGAAAGGACAGCTTTTGTGGACTTTGTGGAAAAGGATAAAGTAAGCGCCAGTCTGGAATATACAGCTCTGAAATTTTGCACCTTAAAACTTCCACATCTCTAGATCTTTGGAAACACGTGCGCCATAAAACACTTTTGATGGATGTCACAGAGATAACAAAACAAAACAAAACAAACAAATAGATATGCATTATACACATTATTGCCAGGGATTATTATTCTACTAAAATAGCAAAACTTGAAATAGAGTTGCTGGATCAGAGCGTTAAACATGTACATGCATACAGACTAAAATGCATGCGTTTCATAAATACATCAAAATAAAATTCTCAGCAATCTGACCCCAAACAAATGCTTATTTTCAGGAACCAAACAGTGAAAAAACTAACAATGGGATACATTACAAACTACAACTATTGTACAGCAACGGTAAGTGTAAATTTCTCTATTCAGCAGGGATAGATTTACAAGTGTTTTTATTCGCTCAATGGAGCCGTATTGACTTACATTTAGTTCAGTTTATTCCACAAATGTAATTCTAGTAGATGGCTAGATTTTTTTTTTTATTAGTGAATTTCAAGAATACTTTCTATTTTTTTTCCGTGGAAACGTTGTATAGTTTTTTGTTTTTTTTACACCAGACTTTTTTTCCACATTGAAAAACAAAAAATAATTTCCCACAGGCGTCAGAACAGAACAGGATCTTTATGTTCGGTTAATCGATTCCATGACAAAACAGGTAAGAACTTTTCATTTCTCTTGCGTGTATCGGTGTATTTATATTTATAGTGTGTGTTTCTCTTGCACGTGCTTTACATTGGGCTACATTGTTTCCATAAGTAAATACAGCATAAGCGAGTACATCTTCTTTATATGTATTATTTATTGGAGATGCAGTGTAATTTATTGATATTGCTTGCTATATTTACTTGGGACTAGGCACTAATGTAAAGCCGTGGCTCATTTTGGGTTGCTCTGATTAATGGGGGGAGGTTATTTGGCGGATTTAATTTAATATGAATCACATTACCACGTTTTTCTTCGCTTGTAGCTGCTTGATAATTCATTGCGAATTAATGAAATAGTGTGGGGGACAACACAATGTGTTTACATTTATATATATTTAAATTGCGCATTTAAAATAACAAAAATATATTTTCTGAGGATAAAAACAAATAACCTAAAGTATAATTTACGCGGATTAGTATTATAGTTTCACCCTCGCATATAAAGCATAATAGCCAAAACCCATATGTGTGTATTGCGCTCAATTAGGTTGTTTTTATTCAATCTTATTTTTTATTATTAATCTGAGACAATATAGGCTACAGCTCATATGCGTGTACATTATTTTAATAATATTACATCACAGTATATAAAACAAAAAAATGCACTTTTTTTATTTGGCAGTACAATATTTATGAATTGGCATTCGGTTAAATGTTCGTGTGTCATTTATATCGCACGTGAAAAGTCACTTTTGTAGTGCTGTAATCAGATCTGGTTAAAGGCATAAAAATAAAGCTCCAGGCGTGAGACAGACACTTGAGTTCATATTGTGCTGTGATGTTCTCTGAAATCACTCTCAGCTCATTTCCATTGTCCATCTCAGCCTCTCTTAGTAAAGAACAGGGCGGATCTTTAGCTTGATTTTGAGGCTCTTGTTATCTGTAGTTTATCCATCGTTTGGCATCACAGGACAGAAAATATGAAGGTTTCATCTGAGGCGCGTCTGAATGGAGCTGAACATGATCAAAGAGTCAATGGCGCTGAACAGTCACTTATGGTTTTCCGTATATTTTCAGGCGTGGAAAAATAAGGATAGCCTACGTCAAATAATGTCTGATAAATTCAACCCGCGGTGCTCATTTTGTTATTTGGGATTTCTACACGGTTTGTTTGATATGACCTAATAAAATTCATTAATAGAATTAATATCATCAAAATTAGAAACCAACGCTTGATTTAGCATGCAGTTGGCAAATTAAAATTCACCTCATTGCGACTAAACTTTATAAGTTCTCATATTTTTCAATGCAATTTATTTTCGGTCCGTGCTTGTTTACGCACTTGCATTTTTTTCTCTCATTTTACTTTAATGTGTAGATAGCCTATAGTACAACAGGGTTTGGGTTTTCATTCACGTATATGCACCAACAGTAATATTTGTGTATTTATAGCCTATATATTTTTTTATTATTATTACAATGATGCAAGAGCACACTCCAACGCGCCCCACGGATCCCACGGAAGGACGCGTTGGAGTGCGCTCTTGCACAGTACATCATAACGGGAGCAGGGCAAACAGGGAGGGAGGGAGGGAGAGAGAGAAAGAGAGAGTGAGACAGAACGCGCAAAAAGCACCGAGGCCCGTGCGCACCTACAGCTCCAAACGCCATCTGTTAAAGCCAATGCTCAAAAATTACTCAAGCGCACCCCCCGACACCGCTTTTTATCTAAAGAAAAATCATTGTTAGCGGCTCAAAATAAACAACAGATTGCCCATTAGCACTCTACCCCTAAATATCTGCAGATTATAACCGCGTTGATGTGTACGGTTATGGGTATTATTTACCGCGGCCATCTGCGTCGGAGAAGCGACAACTATGTGATTTCTATTATCATTCCCCAAATAAATAGCGCAAAGATCTAAACAGAAGCATATGCGACTCTTCATTTCTAAAGTGATATGCATGTGGTATAATTTGTCATCGCAATGACCGGCCAAGTGTTGATATTCATTTCAAACATCGTATTTATTTATGCAAATTAATAACACAAAGGTTATCTCTATCTAGAATGTGGGCATGTGTGTTGGTTTAGCGATAAAACATTGTTTAACAATGTATGTGGGCTAAATTGATTTTATTTACGCACCTTCTCATGTCAGTTTTTAATTGATGAACTTTGTGCCATAAACCACATTTTATTTCAGTTATTTTTTAATGGAGAAATTAAGTTTTATATTTAATATTTTGACTGTTATATTTTACCCTGTGTGCAATGCTCTTGTTAAAAAGATCTTCACTGTTACTTTTATTTCAAGGCTATTATTTATGAAGGACAAGACAAAAACCCAGAAATGTGCCGAGTTCTTCTCACACACGAAATTATGTGCAGGTAAGAAAATATATATATATATATTTTTCAGTTAATTATAAACTATTACATTTGACTGCATAATTGCATTTTATTAGCCATAATGTCTTGTCATGTTTTCATAAATGCGCACGATGTAGGCCTATCCAGGCCTCCGAGCATCAGCCTTACAGAAAATCAATGAATCCCTGAATAGATCTGCCTGGATACGCTGAAAAGAATCCAAATGTTCAGAATTGCCAGGCGGCTTATTCACAATGATTTACGGTTTGCTCTGCGAGTTTCAGAAGTTCTACTTCAAAAGCGCAAATTTGACTGAATCATTTGGTGACATCGGATTTACGAATGATCTCACTGGACTTTTAATAGGCTACTATAGAGGATAAAATGAAATTCACACACACACACACACACATGCAGACGCGTGTGTGCGTACTCGGGCCTTTAGGAAAGTGGCTTTTCATCGTCAGCAATTTGACCGTGCGCCACTCTGATTTTTACGCTCGCGCTATAGATAAATCATGCGGTTATTTTTAAAAGTGAAAATGACATTAAATTAAATAACTGCACTTGAAGAGAACAACACGTATGGAAGCAAGCACTCAATTTCCCATCAAATCGGAAAAGAATCAGAAGCTTGCTCAGAGGTCACGCCACATCCTTCTGCGCTCAAGATGCTTGAAACTTTTGGAGCCGTATTTACCGATAAAGAAAGTTCCTCGCATCGCACTCTGTTGCGTGCGTCAAACCGTGCAGATGCGTTTCCGAGTCCCAAGCAGAGGTCCATAGACATACTTTAATCACTTTAGCTGTCAGCTTTAAGGAGCTTTACATGTTTTCCATACCATATGGTGTTAATTTAGCTCACTTAGACATGTAACCATTATACAAGTGGGCTTCTTTAAATTCAAGAGGCATGACATTTTTTTTTTATCTCAGTAAATTCAACATTAATTAAAGAAAGCATAATGGAAGCATCTTCAGGGCCTCAAAATGGAGGCATTGGCACATTGTAGGAGACTGATGGAGGCTTTTTGAGCTGGTAATTAATAAGTGCCCCACAGAAATCCTGGTTGAAGGTGGCATCTTGCATCCTCTCCAGACACAACAGCTTGACAATTAGAGGTAAACAAAAGCTGGGGCTGAGGGAGAGCTTTCTCCCCCCCCCCCCCTCACAGCCTCCTGGCACCCCCTCTCCTCCTCTCAGCACTAAGACAAACACCAAAAACATGCTGTTTTCCCTCCTTCAGCCACAGCGCCCGGCTCCGTGTTTACCCGCCGCCCGCATCTGCGAGAACCGCAGCCACCAACACCATCAGGCTCAGCCAGAACCCACGCCAAACACCTCGCGGTTAGCTAGAAAAGAGGACGAGAGAGCGTGTCAGATGAATAAATCTAAACACACGGTGCTCGAAGACCAAAGACACATGCAAGCTGCTTGCTGATTCTCTCACATCTCATCTCATGCCTTGTCTTCTCTCTCTCCCTCTCTCCAAGTCGGTGTTGTGACAAAAAAAGCTGCGGAAACAGGAACGAAACGCCCTCAGATCCCGTGATCATCGACAGGTAAGACTCTATCTGCTTCTGTGAGCGCGGGGCGCTGCGGCCCAGCGTCCCGGCCTGGGTTTGCCCTGTGTTGTCGCGCAGGTGTGTTGATGTGGAAACCCGAGGGTGTCTTTGGGGACCGTGTAATTGCTGGTGAGTTGTCAGGGAAGCGCCTTGCGATCTAGAGAGCGTTTGGTTTTAAACTCACAACTCTTTCATCCTAATTTGTTAACAGCCGCTCTGCTTATCTCCTCTGTAAACAGTGCACTGCCTCTCGCTGGCTTTGTGGCACGACAGAGCAGGAACGTCGTGCATGTTTGAGGCAAAAAGGTGTCTTTACGTTGCGCTCTGTAGTGCTGCCGGTGGGAAATGAGTAATGTTTCTGGGCTGGCTGTTGGCGGTTGCATGTTGATCACATTAGGGAAAGCGTGTTCAAACACACCGGCTCCCGCCGAGTGGGTAATTGACGTTCTTTCTTTCTTTTTTTTTTTTTTTGCAGCTTATGTTTCTCTTTGTGAGTCTGGCTGAAGGTTACACTTACTCGGCGAGACTTACACTTCTTCCTTTTTGTCCAATTATCCCTGTAGTGGCAGCACGTACGTGGATTACGGCAGGGTTGAAACGGTAAATGTGACAGGGAGCGCTGGCTGCTTGAGTCCGGGCCTCTTGGAGATTAGTGAGCTAGAACAAGCCTACCTTGCTCTATAAAGCCAGGAGTCTCTCTGTTTCCATCTGCTGTAAAGAGCCATGAATAAGCATCAAGTGCTGCCAGCAGCAAGAGTCTCCCTCTCTTTCTTACTCTCTCTTGTTTTCTTGCAAAGTTATCCCACGATCTCAAACTTGTCTATCCACTGAGTGAGAAATTAGATTGGAGGGTGATATGATGGGTAAAGCCGGGAACGAAATATGCGCCACCAGTGGATGGCAATGCTAATGTTTGACTTGCTGAAATAGCTGTTTGCTTAGCAGGGAATGTTTGGTATCTGACAGAGGGAACATCTTTCTTATTAGTAATCAAATAGCAGTGACCAGTTGCCGCTGTCAGTCACCATGCATGAAGCGTGTGAAGCGTCGGAAAAAAGGACTCATGCCCCGTGTGTGTGTGTGTGTGTGTCGAAGCTATGGCCGTGCTTGCGTGTTTGGAGGTCTGAGCATTTCCCGCTCTCACGTCATGTGCTCGTAAAGTGGAAACCCTGCAGTACTACACAATAATGTGAGTGAATCGCTTAATGCGAGGTTTGTTTGGGTTATACACAGCTCATTCATAATCAATATTTGATTTAATTGACAATCTATGGCTCTGTTACAAAACTTAGTGAGCTGTCTTGTTTTCTGCTTCCTACAAAGGCAACATCCAAACTACTTGCTAAACATCTCCATATCCTTGCAATATTCTAAACATCATAAAAATACACAGCACTGTAAATATATAAGTAAAATAGTAAAATAATGGGAGTAAATTATGCATAATTACAAGCAATTAACCCTAAACTAAACCCTAACACTAACCATAGCTACATTATTACTCAGTACTTATTTAAATACAATGTAAATACACCACCTAAGATAAAGTATCACTTACTTTTTGATTTTAAATTAATCTTATGTATATTTATTTATTGGATTCTGGGAGTTGCTTGTCCATGAATGCTGCCTTACAATCTGCCCAAAAATGTATTATGTTAGAAGTTAGCATAAATGCTAAAGCATAAATGAGTGCGCCTGTGATGCCCTAAAATGTACTTATTTAAGTACAATGTAAATACACCACCTTAAGATAAAGTGTAACTTTTTGATTTCAAATTAATCTTAAGTATATTGGATTCTGGGATTTGCTTGTCCGTGGATGCTGCCTTACAATTTGCCCAAAATGAGTTATCTTAGAAGTTAGCATAAATGCTAAAGCATAAATGACGTAAATGTGATGCCCTAAAATGTACTTATTTAAGTACAATGTAAATATAAAGTGTAACTTACTTTTTGATTTCAAATTAATCTTAAGTATATTGGATTCTGGGATTTGCTTGTCCATGAATGCTGCCTTACAATCTGCCCAAAATGTGTTATCTTAGAAGTTAGCATAAATGCTAAAGCATAAATGACGTGCGCCTGTGATGCCCTAAAATGTTATGCATGTATGCAGCCCACCAGGTTTTTGAACAGAGTCTCTATTTAACCTTTTTTGGAGAGGAATATGACTTCCTTACATTTTCCTAAGTAAACACTCTCAAAGAGTGTGAATCAATCTCAGTAACCTTTGTTATCTCTGCATTAAATGATTAGCTTGTTCAAACAGACGTGCTGAAGAGCTCTGACAGTGTGCGAACAGTAATTAGTTACAGGACAGACATCCATGCACTCACTGTAACTCAACCGCAAGAGAAAGAAAAACTGGAGGAGGGGGGGAGGAAAAGAGGAGTCCCTGCGAGGTGGAGGAGGATTTGTTTTGGTTTTCTGAACAGGAGATAAAACACATATCACTTCCTCTTAGTGGATCCTGAAAGGAGTCTCGGGCTGCAGTCAGAGTCGATTCTCTCAACTGTGGCTCATACAGTGTATTTACCTTTAAAGAAAAACATGAAGACTTTACAACAGGGTTTCAACTGATATTTACCGCATTGACTCTTCCCATAAATTGCTGGGCTTTGTGTCGTGGCTAAATAGAGGTGGATGGATCGGATGTCTTGGCGCTTTGTGCTTCAATCTGGCGAACAATATGTGTAACACTAGTAAAAGAGGAAAAGGAGAACAGTGCAAAGAAGCTCTGATACCGGGCAAAAAGGAGGGATATTGTCGTAGGTTGAAGCGGTGGATAAAAAAGCTCACATTTTGATTGTAAGGCGTTTGAAAGACTCGAGAGGATCATTTTCATAGAGGGCCGATCCGTTCTGTCAGATCACAAAAGCAGATGTACTTCATTAGCCGACTGCATTGTCTGCATATCACAACTGCGAAGAGATGATTTTATCCAACGCTCGGAGAACAAGGCGGCCGGGAGAGCCCGGAACGCACGGAAACACGAACCTCAAATGACTGAAGCGTTCGTGCAGGTGGGGTGTATGATATAAAGCTAATTTGTAATCACAAAACCAATCCTGTGGGGTAATGTCTTGTTAGGTCTTGTCTCAGTGGAAAAAAAAGTGGAACGTTACAGTACGCGAGAGAGTTCGCTCAGTCACAGGAAGTAGATCCAAATCACAGCAAAGAAAGGGTCGGTTGCGTTACAATCAAAACATTTAACTGGGTTGGACTTAGGATAGATAGATAGAGGGAGAGAATGTTCTGCTAAACATGGCTACGGTGACCAGAAGATCTGGTGATCCATTATCAATAACGTTTTCAGCCACATTCTCCCAGATGGCACATGGGCCAGGCATACTGCTCGTTGGCACGGGCTCGGACAATAACTGGCACCCGCTCGCTTCTGGCATTTTCAATGGAGTTTAGGAGACTTATCATTCCAAATGTGTCCTATTTTCCTGTAGTCAAGCCAGACATCTGTTTATACTATTTCTCTTGGACTTTAGTGCAGCTTTAGGTTCTTCACGAGGAGAAGTCTCAAAAATATGAGAATATTTCTCAGCTGTTACAAAATTTCTTTAAATATTTCACAACCCGACCCTGCTTCGACATAGATTATTCATCTGTATTTTTGAAAGAGAGATTGAGGAGTTCTACAGCTAGATCCTGAACTCTTGTAGGTGATGTCTTGAACACACGTGTCAAGAGCGAGGCGTTGGATCATTACCGCCCCCGTATCGGTCCGAGAACTAATAATACCTCTCCGACTCAAGAGCGATGAGGGTTTTCCTAGCCAACCGATCTCCCTTTCACTTCCTGTCAGAAAGGTCAAGACATGCTGACCTCTGACAGACAACCCCCTCCCTCAACTGAATAATTCATGAGATTGACTTTTTTTTTTTTTGTCAGACAGTTGTGTAGCAGGACTGTTTACGTAGCTCATGAGGCTTTTGCACCTGTTCGGGCCGCGTGATATTTGGGTCCCGGTGCTGATTTAGCTAAACACTCATTAATTTCTTTTTTTTTTTCATACCGAAGGACCTTTCCAGAAGGGATTACGCTTGGTTATTAGCTAGGTCTTCCTTCAGCTGGGGGGCGTAAAAAAAATGTGTACGTACTCGGCCTGTTGCAGATTTTTTAATCTTGAAAAACCAACACAGATAGTTCCTCCGTTTTTTTTTTTTTTTTGCCCTTTTTGTTTGTATCTTCTCCGACCAGGCTACTTAAAAAGACCTCCTCCCTCTCATCCGCACACAGGCCTTCTCTCGGAGCTGAGCAAATGCCAGCATTTAGAAGGTCAGAGCTTTTGTTGGAAAAGCGCTATGTAAATTAGCACCAGCAAAAGGGACATTAAACAAAATTCAATTCATTGTCTCCCTTAATGTCATTTACATTTTTGGCTCGGGCCCGTCCTGTCGAGGAGAATTTTGGAGATGATTTTAATTACATATCAGCGCTGGAACAGAGGGCTGTCTGGAGCGAGACGCATTTGGATCACCTGTAAAGAGAGGTTTATTTACCAATGCACTTGAATGGCAGGTTTTCACAGGCGCTTGCGTGATGCAATTAAGCCCGTGTTAAGTGTTAATTTCTCGGCCTGTCTTTTTCCTTCACAGAAAGGCCTGTTTCACACACACCACAGAGTTTAACCTTTAGTCCTTGTCTTTTAGATTTGAGTCCTTCTGGATTCTCCTCACACCTTTCGGGGCAAAACCACAGCACCGTTGTACCTTATTTATTGCTAAAGTAGTACCTTAAGGGTGTATATTACTACTTTAAAGTATTAATATGCACCTTTAGATAAGTTGTATTTTAAGAGCACAGTCCTAGAGACAACCCCGTTACACATTTTTCTGACAGTGTCCAAACTGTTGTCCTCTCAAATGCTTTCTAGACTGAGAATGTCTCTGAATGACTCTGACTTGCAATATCAAACAGCAAATCATGCTGTGATGTAAACTAAGCTATTTAAATAAAAAGATGATCCCTCTGATATGTCC